TGGATCCTGGCATCATGTTGTCCAGGCCATGAGGCTGAAAATAATCATGTGGAAGACCTTTTACATATGCACACAGCTTGCATGGCTTGTTTGCATTCAAGTCAAGTGTCTTGAATCCAAGTTCAGATTTGCATTGCTGACAAATGAAAGAAAAACTTTTGCATTTGAACTCCAAAAATTTCAGATGAAAGTCTTTTTTTTAAAAAAAAGCAGGAGGGAAGCAGGGTGGGCTAATGCATGTAAGGATAAAATCACTTCTAGATACCATGCTCTTTTCCTTTCATTCCTGTGATAATTTATAGCTCAGTGTGGAATCTGAGATGTACTCAGTTGTGCCAAAGGGTCTGGCAGCAGGAAGAAGAGACACTCCGACCTGTAACTGCAGCACAGCTTATAAAACTTAATTTTAGCAGCTACTAGGCACTGCTTTTAAGTGTACATTTTCATCTTAGAATGTTTTGTTTTTTAGTCACCTGTCTTCATGAAAATGTGTTAGGCTGTGTGAAAGAATGGACATGCTTAACTTTTCAGACAGGATTATCTTTTCATTTTATTATCTGCCTCAGGTGAAAACTAAATGCAATTATGGGTTCAGATTCTGTTTAAAAGCCTGAGGGGGGGAAAGAGTGAGATGCAGTGGCATTTCAGTGACATGCCAGCCTGTGTGATGTCTTTGGAGGAAAGTTCTGCAGGAGAAGAATTTCTTCCCAACGAGGACCTCCCAGTTAGTTTATTGAATATAGCAGTGCTGAAAAGAAATAGGAAAGGAACGTTGGGTGGTAGGGTACACTAGCTTCCATTGCTTTAAGAAAAGATCATAGGAATTAGTGGAGAGAAAACTGACAAAATAATTGTAAAAGGACATCTTCATGTCCTGCCCTTCAGGACCGAGAACACCTCTAGCATTACCTGATGTGTTTTCACACCATATAATCACAAGTGTGACAGCACGAGTGCATTATTCTAGATCTAGCTTCTGCTTCTGAGCATTACTGGGATAGTGCTCTGCTACCTTGAAAAAGTGATGGGCAACCAAAAGGGTAAAATTATTGAGAAGCAAAAATGAAAATAAATATGCTGATCAGAGTAAAGAGGAAGAAGTTGGATTCATTGTTGTAGCTGTCTTCCTTACATCTCCATGCTCAGAGAAAATTTTTCCAGAGGCAGCCCGCAGCCCCTCTGAGGTTTATGGATGAGATTTCAGAGGGGTGCCACCTCCACTATAATTTTTATTAGCATAGGAAGGCATATTCAGATACCTTTAACTGTCACTTTGCTCCTAAACTACTGGATGCTGAAGTGTGGGAATCTTTCAAGCAAGGCAACTTTGATAGTACCTGGATTGTTGGAGCAATTCATCATGCAGACTAACCATCCAAACTTAAGGACTGCGTTAAGGCTAGATAGAGACAGTAAAGATTCAAGCTATCTAATTCAGAAGCAGTTTTATATGCATGGAATGCAGAGATGAGAGCGCTTTTGGCTTCCAGGCAGTCCCAGTCAAACCATTGCTTGGAAGTAAGGTTGCCAGCTCCGGGCTGGAAAATACCTGGAGCTTTTGGGGGTGGATATGAGAAAGGGTGTGGTTTGGGGAGTGAAAAGTACTGGGTTCGCCGCATGGAGGACTCGGACAACGACATGCGTTTGCACACGTTTATTCTACTTCACACTGGAACTGAAAAACGGCCCTGCAAGGCCAACTATATACACACCCACTCAGCACACCCACAGTCCCATTGGAGGGTTTGAATTTCCCGCCAAAGCTGCTACTGGTGAATGCTGGGGGAACTAGGATCCTAGGTCCCTATTGTTTAAAGGAGCTAAGCTCTGACTCTAGCCGCAGACCCGTGGTGGCGGTCCACGTACATAACAGGGAGGGGCCTCAGCATGGTACAATGCCATAGAGTCCACCCTTCGAAGCAGACATTTTCTCCAGGGGAGCTGATCTCTGTCAGCTGGGGATCAGTTATAAAGGCGGGAGATCTCCAGGTCCCACCTGGAGGCTGGCAACCCTACTTGGAAAACCTTCTCTGCTTCTTTATTTGTGGCCCTGTGTCTTGTAGTAATAAGGGCTTCAGTCTCCAAAGGAGGTTGTCTTATGGGATCAGAGGATCAACACCCAGTTTGAGAGCCAGTTTGGTGTAGTGGTTAAGTGTGCAGAGTCTCTGGGAGAACCGGGTTTGATTCCCCACTCCTCCACTTGCACCTGCTGATGTGACCTTGGGTCAGTCACAAGCTCTGGCACAGCTGTTCCTGAAAGAGCAGTTTGTGTCAGAGTTCTCTCAGCCCCACCCACCTCACAGGGTGTCTGTTGTGGGGAGGGGAAGGGAAAGGAGTTTGTAAGCCGCTCTGAGACACCTTTGGGTAGTGAAGGGCGGGGTATAAATCCAATCTCATCTCATCTCATCATCATCATATTCCATAATGGCAGCTGGATGTATCAAGGAATTTTCCTCAGCCACTATCACAATCTTTTGCTCAAGTTGGAGCCTCCACTTGGCATGGCAGTCCACTTGTTCACTTGGCGAGATATGGGCTCCAGATTGAATTTTGAAAGAAATCTCAAGACAGTGGATTCAAACGCAGGAGGAGGGGTAAATGATCACCCTTCAAAGTGGGTAGAACCTGGAGTTTTTTTTCAAGTGGAAGCAGGTTCCCACTGGCTAAAATATAGCTAATGGTGCTGTGCCCATTCCCTGCTGTAAATGTGAGATCACCTGGGTGGTCCCCTCCCCATATGTGGATCCATTCAGAATGTGCAAGTTTAACCTTCTGGCCATACTTACAAGACAGGAGCTGGCAAAGTTTGTCTTACCATCTTTGGCTAGATGTGACAGGCAGCAAGTATAACGTACATTACTGACAACCCTGTGTTACATTTAGCTAAAGAGCTGCGAAAATGGATAGTTGGTGCCTCAATTTTCATATTACAATAGTCTTCCGATATGTTTTGCCAGGTGAGACTCCCTTCTCTGAGTGATGCTATATTTCTTTACATTATAATAGTTATAAGAATGGCGCAAAATAGTTACATGTTCTTCACTGCAGTTTGTGGTAAGATTTTGCCACCAGTCCAAGATTGCCAGCTCCTATGGAGTCCAACAGGGTTTCATCATGTTCCCCATGCTCTTTAAATGTTACGTGAAACTACTGGGTGTGGTCATCCAAACTCCAAAGATTTGGGCTGTGTTGTCACAAATATGTGGATGACACTCACCTCTATCTTGCATTTCCAGTGGTTCCCAGGGAGTCTGTAGAAACCCTGAATTCGTGCTTGGAGGCAGTTTTGGGGTGGATGTAGGCAAATAAACTGAAGCTTAATCCTGACAAGATGGAAGTTATTGCATACTAGTGAAACAATAAACACCCAATTTCCTTTAATTTAATGGTTTATTTATTAACACACAAACCTCAGGGAAGATCACTTAGCTTGTTTCTTGTCCACTGGGTCAAGGATTGTCTTGGGCCAATTCTGAAGAGTTTGCATAGGCCCAGCCCTCCTGCAGTTTACTAGTAGGGAAGTGAAACTGTTTCCCTCCTACTACTCTGTTCTGAAGTCTTCTGGGTTAGTCTCTTAAGGAGTACATAACAGAAGGGCTACTGATGTGTGGACTGAGCTGTTAATTGAGGAATATCCTGTTTGGGATGGGGTTGCGCTTCCCTAGAAGGTGCAGGTTTGTAGCTTGGGGTGCTGCTGGATAACCAGGTGGTTGCTGTGACCAGGAGCGCCTTTTACCAGCTTTGACTAGTTAGCCAGCTGCAGCCTTTCCTAGGTAGAAAATGTCTAGCCACCACAGTGCATACCCTGATAGCACGGACAGAGTTGTCAGCTCTAGGTTGGGAAAAACTGGAGATTGGCGGTGGGGTGGAGCCTGAGGAGGGTGGGGTTTAGGGAGAGGAGGGACTTCAATGGGGTATAATGCCATAGAGTCCACCTTCCAAAGTGACCATTTTCTCAGGTGAACTGATCTCTGTCGCCTGGAGATCATTTGTAATCCCAGGAGATCTCCAGCCACCACCTGGAGGTTGGCCACCCAACATGAACAGCATGCCTTAAGGACCACCAACTCACATACAAACCTTCTTGACCACTATGGTCATCTTCTGAGGCCTTGCTTTGAGTGCCCCTGCCTTCTGAAGTTCACATGGGTGGCAACCCAAGAGAGTGTTGTTGTTTTTTTCCGTTGTGGCACCAAGATTATAGAATTGCCTTCCTGTGAATATTTGTCTAAAATTACCTCCACACTTCGGAGGAGATGACTGGAGTATAACAACAGGGTCTCAGTTTATTACTATCAGCATTCCACAATAAAGGAGGATAGATCTGCCTATCTCCAATTTTGATATGTTCTCTTATGTTCTTATGATATATTTATTTCCTTCACTATGTTTCCCCCTGGAATTAAACCCAAACAAATGTTGACCATATGAACCAAGCTTGTTATTCCAGTTTGGTCCTTCTATCTTTTAAACACTGTTTATTATGCTTATGCTAATTTGCTGCTCACCCTCTACCTACACACACACACACACACACATGTATGTATGTATGGACTGAAGAAGTGTGCATGTACACCAGACATATAACTTGAATAAAACTTTGTTGGTCTTAAAGGTGCCACTGGAGTTGAACTTTGTCTTCTGCCAGTTTTGTTTTATTTGGCATTCTCTCAATAACCCCTTCTCCCTACCCTATACTTTTTATTGATGTCTCTATATATGTATGATGTTCTGTTTTTTTTTATTTGTTTGATCTTTTTTTTTTGGGTTTTAGCCATCTTTGTGGCCCTTATTGGGCTGAAAGGCAGGATATACATCTTCTAAATAAAATATATAATGTACTTCCACTGAAATACATGGTATTTTCAATGGATTGAGATTTCCTGTTCCTCGTCAATATAGAATATTTGTTGATTTCTCTAATGGGCTATATACCTATCAACAAATTCTGGAATGTCAATGAGAGATGTTCTCATCTTCTCCCCCCACCCCCACAATAGGACACCGTCAGAAACTAGATGAGCAGACAAAGCCTGGGAGTTTGTCCTTTTCAGAGCGTCTGAGCGAACTGGAGCAGTTGCGTCGTACAGCTATAAGGGCCAGCCCACACCACCCAGCCCCCACACCTAATCCAAGAGCTTCCTTGAACCACACCACTGCTTTTAACCCTCAGCCTCAAAGCCAGATTCAGGGTAAGTACCTGTTCCCCATTCCAAGCTGGAGGGAGGTTACTCCTTGGCCATTGGAATTAAGGTTAGCATAACCTGATGTATGCACTGGTGCATTGGGGTGCAATTTCCTTCAGTGCATTTCATCCACATGTGAATCTGTTGCTACAATAATAGGGCTGACTGCTGCAAACAAATGAGCTGGAGTAGACCCAATTTGACTTTGGTTCAGAAAGCTGCAGTAAAATGAAATTGCATGAGATCCTTTACTAGGACGAATCTTCTTCATCTCTGTGATTATCTGCCCCAACACACACACACAATACATTGTTGAGTAGAGCAGAGGCCCAAAGGTTTGTCTTCCTAAGGAAAACAGCTTTAGAGAGGAAGCAGAGGGCAGGGAAAGGCTTAAACACTGGCTCCCAAGGACTGGTCTTTTGGCTTTCATTTCATGCATTTTCTGTATAACACAGAGTTAGGCCCTTACTCTGCCTACAAAACTCCATTCAAGTAAGCAATTGAATGTGGAGGTTATTTGACCAGTCCAACTACTCTGAGTATGAAAAGAATGGATACTGTGTTAAGGAGGTGCTCATTCTTTTGGGTTGAAGAGCTGGACACCCAGAAACACTCCTGCCCTTAATCAAGCATGTACTTAATTGCAAAATGTTCTGGTTTGACTTGTGTTGCTAGTCTGACTGATAGCAATGTCCTTGCCCTAGCTCAGGCTCCAGTGTCCATGAGATGATGATGATGGTGCAAATAGCTTAATGAATAGAATCCATGTCTTGCAGAATGGTAGTAAAATCGCTGTAACTGGAATGATATATTCCACCATCAAGCAATATTGCTGAAAAAAAGCAGTACAGCACATCATAGCCATCCTGGCGGCATCCATACATTCATTTTGAAAACAAGCATTGGCAATGTCATTTTAGAAGATGAAAGACTTAGTAAGGTTGCAGCCTTGTCTATGCTTTTGCAATAAGAAAAATTTCAGAGTGAGTGATGAGATGGGCCAAAAGCCATTCATGAGGGGGGGACACACACACATACATAAGAATGCATTTCTGACTCCATTCTGTTCTTTTAAATATATATGAATCCCAGTGCTATGCATGTTTACTCAGATTAAATACCATGAAATGCTTAATTAAGCATTTGAAATGCTTAACTAAGCATTGTCTAAGAAACACTTAAGCAATTTGCTGTATTTAAAGCAATCACTTGGACTCTTTTGGACTAGTTTCTTGGTCCTAAGCAAGTTTGATTTTAGCTTAAATCCAATTGATTGCAATGAAATTTGCTTCCATGCCATGCTTGTATAAGCTAATGTTTTGATGTGGGAAGGTATCTCTGAAGGTATAATTCCAGACCATGCAATGCCAACAAATTGAAACAATCCTACCTTAGGCTGTTTCCTGAAATCTCATGAGAGCAGTTGAAATTAAGTGGGTGAGTGACTTGATTAAATGTCCTCTAATATCCCCAATGTACATTTTACAAAGTTCTTTAGCACATACATAATTAAACATGTCTGAAATTAGAATCAATGATATATGGCTCTTTCTTGGAAAACTGTTTTCCCCATTTTAGAGGTAAGTACTTTGATCAGTCTCCTGGTCTGAGTTTTTGAAAAAGAGCATACTGCCTTGGTTTTAAACCAAGAATATACCCCTAAAGTTCTATATTTTAGGTTCAGTAGTATGTTCTATTTTGTTGTTAAGAGTAATAGCAACAGTATTAGTATTAATATTCAACACCCAAAACATCTTGGTGCCTCACAAATTTAAAGAAATAAGATTCCTGCCCACAGACTCACAATCTATGGATTGTTTCTATTACTATAGGAAGGAACGCTAAAACTTGCCATTTGGTCCTTTCATTCTTACCTATGTTGTATAGTTTCAAAACATTGCCTACTAAAATTTATATCAGAATTCCAGGGTTCTCTTTGTAAAGATAGTTTTTCCTGTCGTTAATCTAAAAGTCAGAAAAGATGAATTCACTATTAAGACTTTCTGAAGAGTTTAAACAAAAATAAATGTAAGAAAACAGTGAGGACAGTCTGGATTGGGAAGCACAGATCAGGGCTGGCATAAGTGTACCCTGACATGAGGCCGCAGAAGAGCCCAGGGCTTCTGGCAGTTCGCACTTCAGTCAACCCCACCAGTTATTTGGTAGCACTCCACTGTGCTCCCAGCTACCCTGACTGACTGCTCAGTGCCGCTGGGAAAAGGGCTGCAGGCAGTAGGGAGCATGGGCAATGGGAGAGCTCACAAGCAGGCAGGGGAAGAATTAGAATACACAGGCAGGTGGGAGACAGGGAGTGGAGGGAAGGGGAAAAAGGCATGTGGGGAGCTGGTGGTGGGTAGAAGAGGGGAGGGGGACCCTCAAAATCTGCAGCTGACCCTGGCATGGATAAAATGCTTGAATCTGTTTAGGCACTAGTAGGTGCTTCAGTGAATTACAGTCAAATCCTAAGACTTTCTTTGTTAAGTATAAAGCGTGTTTAAGTTGGGCTGTATCAAGACAAGCCCAGTATTTAAAAAGGATATCATAGACTACTGCCATTTGTGGAAACAAATGCACATTCTTATTGAACAGCTTTTTGACTTAAATTGCTTCTCTGTTCCATATTGCTTCTTGGGTACAAGGTGAGAGAAAGACAGCAGCATATAGCAGAAATAGATTTTTTTTCTTTTTAATTTATCGAATGACAAAACATATACAGATATTGATTTAGAAATTTAAAATTATTTTTAAAATGACTCTGAATATAGTGTCTCTCAGGTCATCTGGGATGCAATAAAGGCATTGGTCAGAGGGAAGTACATTGCAATTGCTTCAATCTTCTGTGGAGACCTCCCCTCTATTGCCCACTGTCTTTGCGAGGCTATATAGCAGAAATAGATGATAGCACAGTTCTGTCTGTAAGCCTGTGGCTGTCCAGTTCCTATCTAAGCGTGTCACAAAACCCCTGACAAAATACCTGACAAGTGTACAGTGCTTTACAGTGCCATCCTAAGCAAAGTTACACCCTAAATGGATTTAGAAGGGTGCAACTTTGTTTAGGATGGCACTGTTAGTATAGATGAATAGTATAGTATAGAACATGTGTTCTAAGCCCTGAGAATGGGTGGCTTGCTGATGGGGAGCGTTTATTTATTTAGAAAATATATATGCCACCCCTCCAAAGACCTGAAGCAGGCAGTTCACAAGTTAAACAGCATGAAAATAAGGCAGACCTTTGCATTAAAAATATGTAAAACAATGGTTTTGGAACAGAAAAATGGTGGGCAAGCATTCCCCCAGTGGGTTCCTAGTGCCGTATTCCCTTCCCTTAATATTCCTTTCTTTTACATGTTTCCCTGTAATATGTCAATAGCCCCACAGTGTTTCGTGTGGGCTCCAATGAAATGTGTGAGAGTTTCTAGGAAGATGTGACTAAGAAGTTATTTAATAGCTGTTCTATATATCATAATATATTGGCAACCTTCATTCTGGATGGTTGTATACTGTTCTATGTTTTATAATAAAAATACAACAAAAATACAAAAAATGCTCTGGACAAATATAAAAATATTAAATGTTTGGATGAACAGGAATATGACAGCAAGATGATTACTGTGTTGGTGGATATATCATGAGTGTGATAAAATCCAGTAATGGTAAGACAATTTTTACAACAGCTCCCAATAGAAATTGCTCTGTTTAGATTTCTGATAGGGTTGTCAGCCTTCAGGTGGGTCCTGGCATTCTTCCAGAATCACAACTGATCTCCAGACTCAGAGATAAGTTCCTCTGGAGAAAATGGTAGTTTTGGAGGGTATACACTATGACATCATATCCCCGCTGACTGCCTTCCTCAAACTCCACCCTGCCCCCAAATCTCTTGGAACCTAGAGTTGTTGTTGTTGCTGTTGTTCAGTCGCACAGTCGAGTCCGACTCTTTGCGACCCCATGGATCATCTCCCGCCAGGCCCTCCTGTCTTCCGCCGTCCTCTGAAGTTGGCTCAATTTCATGTTCGTTGCATCGATGACACTGTCTAACCATCTCATCCTTTGCCGTCCCCGTCTTCTTTGACCTTCGATCTTTCCCAGCATCAGGGTCTTCTCCAGGGAGTGCTCCCTTCTCATTTGGTGGCCAAAGTATTTGAGCTAGAGGAGAACCTAGAGTAGGCAAGATTAATTCGTATCTTTTAAATAGCACTGATATTCACAGTAAAGTCCTATACCATGAAAGGGATGGGAAACCTTTCTGTTTTATTGCTATGCTTTTATCTAAATACTGTACATTTTTGTACAAGCTAATTAAGCATTTTAATACACAAGACTCAAAAAACCCTTTACCATTAGCTTCTAAATTCCACAAAACAAATGTTAATCTTTATCTTACCTAAAAACAAATTTAAAATAAATAATCTCTGGTTAGGTCTCTACATTTATGGATTAAGAAGGCAATGGAGAGATGGTCATACCACTAAACTACTGTATACTTGCAGAGGTTTCTTCTTCTAAAACGCTGAAGGTTTGGTTTTTTAAACTGGGTTCCTATTTTTATCAAGTATTAAATTTCAAACAGAAAGCAGTTTGTGTGTTGAAAGCAAGTCCATGCAGGTTAGTGCTCATAAATTACTATAATTGACTTCTGGGTTTCTTTCAGGAAAATACACCTGTCCATTTAAAAAGTTCAAAACCTAGGCCCTCACAGAGCAGAAGAGGATAAGATGAGTAGCTGCTCTTTCAAGTTTGAAAAACCACTTTGTGCATGTGTCTATATGATTTTACAAACCAATATTTATACTGGTAAAAAATAATAATTTGCCTCAGATTGCAGTGACTTGGGAAACTTTATGGAGGAAATATCTTAGAGCTGGAGTAAACCCAGTTAGAACTAGGGTTGGCATATCTTGGTGGGGATGAAAGAGCTGTTTTAAAAAAAACAACACTGACAGACTGTCAGTGACATGGGACTTCCTAGAAATTGCCAAGAGCTCTATGGTTTTGCTATATGGTTTTAC